GTGAAACAGAAACGGGGAGTGAAGAGACACAGGTGATACACATGAGGTAATCAGACAACAGGAAGTACAACTACAGACACAGAGTAACACATTTCAAAATAAAACAGGAAGTAAAGCTAAACCATGACATGTGAAGGACTTTTGAGAATAAACTTTTATCAAAAAACAGAATTTCCCTTGGAACATTTTAATTAAAGGATCTCTTTAAACATGGATTACTTAACAATGCGTTCTCCTCATCCCCCTGTTCTGTAACTGCGGATGCAACACTGACATTTCCCCTCTGTGACACAAATAATGAATCCCTAAAGAATAATTGACAAAGCGAATTGCCACTAGAGGCGCTCTAATGCACTATTTTTTATTTTATTTTTAAGCGCTGGTTGTGTTCCGGTCCTGAGTGTAACTCGAGACTTGAGTTGTTCCATATCTTATTACCATAAATACCATGTTTAAATCTGAAACATGGACGGAAATCACTTTGAACAACAACATTTTTCTGTCAATTGAATTGAGGGATCAACAAAAAACAGGTTACACCAAATCTATAACATTTGACATAATCCATTTTAAACTCATCATAGACTGAAAAACGTGATGAAAAATAAGTCAAAAATTGCTCAAATTTGGCAAAATGTATCTTTATTTAAGCACATTTTGACTTCCTTAATACAAGCTGGGACGAACTAAAGAAAATAGTTTTAAAAAGATACAAGAATGGTCTTCCTTGGAATGAGAACATCTTTTTCTTGAATCAAGACTAAATTGTCCGGTTGGCAAATGTTGCTGCAGTGTAAACTCTCTTACAATTGTGACTTCAAGGACTGCTTAGATCATAATGCAATGATAGTTCCACATTTCTGTGGCATGACAAGTTGGTCTCAGGCTGGTAAATCTGACCCGAGGCCTCTTGAATTCTTATGTAAGTAAAGTCATTTTCAGATGTACGATAAGAAAGACAATGCCATCAGTCATCTTCTTATAAAACACAAAATGTTCAGTTTGAAGAGCTAAGAAGAATGACCTCATATGACCTGAGTAAAAGTGTTAATGTCCATCTTTGAATTGATTAACTTTTCTTTATTATACACTATCTCTGTATCAGCACGTCAAAAAACTAATGTAGTATTGTATGATAAAGAAGAATAGTTTGTGACTAATCTACAAAAACAAAAACAAAGGCAAGGCAGGTTTATTTGTATTGCACAATTCATACACAAGGCAACTCAAAGTGCTGAACAAAACAAAATAGAAACACTTACACAAGGCATTAAAACCATAAATAACCACAGTACATTAAAAAGAGTCAAGATAAAGATTAAAAAAACGTTGCCTTCTAAAAGGAGCACTTCTTCCAGATTTTCTAACCTGTGCTAAATGGAATATTCCTGAAAGCCCATCGAACGCAGCGGTGAATAGCCCTCACTTGATTTAATGGAGGACGTTAAAACAGTGATTAGCTTGTCTTTGTCTCCTTGATGAATTCATTGGGTGCAGGGAAAGCAAACAGCTGCTAATCAGCCTCGGCAATCACCAACGCCACACACTCTGTAAGAATATTCTAGACCACAGCCACGTCTACGTTCAGGTCAACGTCTGACGGAAACGTGTTTGTGAGAGGCAGCCATTTTGTTGTATTTACCGCACGCCTTGGAAGGATGTTGCAATGGATGATGTCATTAACAGAAGGGAGATAACATGCATAACGTCTCATCTGCATTACAATAAGACCAGAGCACGCGGGACACAATTTCCTGCGGCATCCCACAGAATCCAGGAGCCCCAAGATCATGAATAATGATCTGAAACTGAGTCAAAGTAATGTCTTTTAAATGATTAATTGTGTCACAGCCCGGTAAAGGATTACATTTGTGCTTATCTAAATGAATGGGCCAACTTTTCCCTATTTTAATTCAATCAGCCTGTTTGGTTTTCACTTTCACAATACAGACCCTTTATGTTATGTATATCGTTGGCTGCGTTTAGTGTCTGTCTGTGATATTCTTAAAAAGCGTCATGACTTGAGGCGGTCTGATCCCTGTGTCACAGTTTGATTATAATTCAGTCCTAAGTGCGAGTTATTTGAATACATGTGCCCTGCTCCCGTAAGAACACTCTTCTCTGTGTGTGAAATGGCCTCTTTATCCGCCGCTTTGCTCCTCAGTCCCAGTCTGTAATCCCTTAAACTCATCAAGCTCAGCCGACTTAGAACGGTGAGGGGAAAAAGCTAATTTTGAGAAACCTCGAATCATATTTTAGAGTGCACTGAAAGGGTGTTTGTAGCTCTCTTAAAACCATTTGGGAAATTTATGGAAAGCATTAAAGAGTGACTGGCTTGATGTAGTGCAGTGTGATGTGTTGTGACAAAGAGACATTTTTAATAGCAGCTGATGTACTGTAAGCAAAGACAATTATCGACCAAGACAGAAGATTGTATCTGAGTAATTATGGATATTGATTAAAAGCCAGAGAATGTATTAACGCCATTAAAGGCAGAAAGCACAGCAGAGAAACAGGCCGTAATTGCATTTGCATTAACATTGGAAGGTCACTACAGTTCAGGCGTAATGCAGTATTGTATAAAACGCTTCTCACCAAGCCCATGAGCAGTGGGTTTATGTCATTTTACTGAATGTTTTTTTATATAATGCTTTTTATCATCCGCAGATGGTCTCGTTGGGAGATGAGAAGGTTAAAGTGACAGCTGCTTCAGAGAACTTTTCTGGGCATTTCACATGGCATTATTCATTCAGGCTACAGCTGCCCTGGGGCAGACTGACGGACTCATAGTAGGGAATGTGGGTGTGTATTGCCTAAGGACACAACAAGGGTATCTTATAGCTGCAGCTTTTCTATTAGACCAAGCAGAAAAAGATCTGGTGTGCTCCTGCTTGGTCTGATAAAAACCACAGCGGCCCTTTCTGGACCTGTTTGAAGACCCCTGATCTACAGTTTATGGATGAACCAAAAAACTATTATCCTTTTGTGTTTTTTCCTGTTCACTAATTTCAGAAATGTGTCCATCTCATCACCTCTTGACTAATGCAGAAACAAAGACACAAAATGTTGCAAACACAGGACTAACCAAAGATGCGAACCTCAGCTATAGTCAATGAGCCATTTAGGTCTCAGGCCATTTAGGACGGAAACCAGAGGTGATTAATTTGACATGCTAAAGCAATACACTTACCCAACAGTCTGGATGTACAAATCCCATGTTCAGTTGACTTTGTACCTTGGGCCTCTGTGGGTCCCACTTGGTCTGATGGAAGTGAACGTGCACTAAAACATTTATATTGTGGAGATGTGAAAGCACAAAACAAGTGCATCTGGGTCCAAAAGTCACCTCAGTAAACTCACTTCAGTCAGTGACGTCATGAGGACTGGTGCAATTGCCTCTGAACCAAGTCTTTCAGACCAGTAAGTGGAAACACGCCTTGAAGAGAATATTGATTATACTGATTTCTCTGACACGTTCTCCAAAAGTAATGATAACAATAATAATAATAAGAAGAAATAATAAAGACGTCTATGACAATAACAGCCACAAACGCGCCCATAAAATTCTGAGTTACCATATGATCGACAGCATAATGAAGAAGCTAATGAGGGGGATCAAGACGGCTACAGCATCAATAAATCAACAGCACTGCGGCTGCAACGGAACAGGTACAATCAGCAGCAGCGGTCAGCGGTGGGAGGGGTGGCGCGAGGGGGCGCAGACATATTGTAATGCAAGTCAGTCTCATGTTTATGGCTCATCTGTGGGTGACTTTGACTGTTTCTGATTACGAACAAGGTCTCTCCCTAAAAGGTTGTGACTTTTAGAAGGCTGTTGTTTTCTCTAAAGAGAAAGAGGACTAGATCCAGTTGATTTAGTCAATAATGGCCTATCTACACGCCCACAGACTATCAACTAAGTTACTGCTAACTAACCCACTAATGTTCACTCCTTGAAGAAAGCAATGTATTTTTTTCTAATAAATGGTAACAAGTTTCTATTAACTAATAACAATTTAGTTTTTAATTTATTTTAAAATATTTTGATCCCCTTAGTTTTTCAATTATAAGCCTCTACCAAATGGTTGAGATTTATTTTTTTAATTTACTGATGTATTTGATAGGGTTAGGGTGTACACAATCAACACGTGAAACACTACAAAATCTGTAGTGTTTCACGTGTTGATTGTGTACACCCTAACCCTATCAAATACATCAGTAAATAAAAAAAATAAAAAAATAAATCTCAACCATTTGGTAGAGGCTTATAATTGAAAAAAAAAAAACTAAGGGGATCAAAATCAAATAAAAAAAAAAAATAAAAAAATCTGGGCGACAGTAGCTCAGTTGGTAGAGCATTGGCCTTAAGGCTAGAAGGTCGTGGGTTCAATTCCCACCTCTGCACCTTCTCCACCGACTCCCACTGATGACTGCTGTCGTTGTGTCCTTGGGCAAGACACTTAACCCCACTTTGCCCAAAGCCCCCACTGAAAGATCAAGGCTATGCTCACACTCAGAGAGCAGCCGTCCTCCTGTGGACTCACCACCTGCAGAGGGTCAGTGAGGGGCTGGTGCTATGAGACTTGGGTGGCATCTCTGATTGCCACCCCCCTGACCCAGAAATGGATTAAAGGGTAGAAAATGGATGGATGGATGGACACTACAAAATCTATAGCCAAGGCTAATTTGCAAAGTCCCTCCCTAGATGCCCCAATGTGGTAGATTTCAGTTCCAAGCTTCAAGTAGATAAGGTGAACCACCAAAGCGTTAAAGAAACCATTAAAGGGTTAATGGCACACACTTGTCAAAGACAGACACAATCCTACTGTTATGGGTGTGCACCATTGTCTTCTTGAGGAAAAAATCTGACACAGAAACAATGAGATCTAAAGTATCAATTTCAGTCCACATTTCGGCTTATTCTTCGTCCTAAATGAGCTACTGGAGCATGTCCCTCAACTAGTTTGTCATCGACTCTTCCTGCAGTCAATCCCTGATCAATGGTCAGAGTGTGGGGCATTGATTCGTGTTTGTGCGGCTCAGCAGTTAGAGACGCTGACCCCAGAGTGAAGCCAGAGGTGGTCAGCACTTCACCTCCACTGCAGAGCTCTCCGATAGTTCAGCAGATCAAATGGCCTTCTCACACTGCGATCAGAGCGGCTCCGTGTCTCCACTCATCACACGATCAATTTTCATGCATTATGAAGTACAGCTCCGGAATCAAACGAGCCTCACAACAATCATGCAGCAGGAGGAGGAGCCAGCAGGAGGCCCGGACTAGAGACAGCAGTAACTTTGACAAAGAAAGATGAGGTGGTTTTATGTATGGCTGTAAAGTATGTTGACCCTTTATGATGTCAAATATGACGTGAAACAGACAAAACATAGAGCCCTAAAACTAGAATCAAACAGAAACAAATAGAAATTCTTACATACAGCACTCTAATAACAATTTTGCCCATAAAATGTACATTCATGAACAAGAATTACATTTAAAGTTTTCAAATTATCTTTCACTTTATCTGCGTTGGACCCATTCTGCGGTGCCTATGGGCCAACCTGCAGCAGTGGTCGCCTCAGGGCCATCATGTCAATAACCACATCTTCTCGTGAGTAATTACAAAGCAGTGTGATTATAATAATTACAGCAGTGTATCAGGATGTCTAATCAATGGAACAATCTCTGAACAAATCAATTGTTTTCTAATGTTGTTCATTTAGCTTCAAGTTGTTGTGACTTTATCGATAGAAAGTTGAAGGTATGAAACAAAAACTGTCTGTTTCTGCTTCACATAAAGGTTTTCTACATCGCACTTGTTCAGAAATGTTATGATCCGACATCCACCACAGAGGAGGAGCGTCTCCCTGATGTGGGAGAGAGCTCTGCATGAAATAACAAGAGGATTTGAATATCATTACAGAGCCAGACACAGAATGGCAAATGAGCGCCTGGCGTTATGTATTTCCCAGAACAGGGCCATCCACATGACCTGGTCGAGCTGGAGTTGAAAAAGTGCAACATGAAGCGTTACACTTGTGGTCTGTAAATAACAACAAAAAACCACTAGAGAGCTACACAGCAGTGCGGATTTTTCCTAGTTTTTTTTTCCATAAATATTTAGCACATATATTTGTATACGCATTCAAGATATTATAAACAAATGACAGCGTATACAATTAAAAGCAGTGAATCATAAGGAAGCATTATTACAGCAAATGTTCATTCTAGAGCCACTCTCAACTCTCAACTCTTCTTCAGCATTTTATATAATGCACGCGTCAGGGGCCATGTTTCGGACCTAAATGAGACCATATTGTGGGGGTCATTCGACAATGAGTGCTCCAATAGAAAACCTCATTGGCTGCATCATAAAACACATATTGCGGCAGTGACATAGTGTGAACAGTTATTAAATATTGATTTCAATATCACTTGCTTGGGGGGAAACAGATTCATAGCCGCATATATTAAAGCTGAGTAGCCTGATGCTAATGTCAAGCAGCGATGGGAGGACTCGCCTGCAGACAAAACCTGGGGCATCCCTGACCCAAGGGACGGATTCTCAGTGTCACATCTTTTACAGACATCCATTAACACAAAAAATTAGCCCAAACACAATCACTCAACACATTGACTTTACTTTAATAAATGATGGTAGAGGAAAATGCACGCGATGAAGCATGTAAATGAAATGCACTTGAACATTTGAATGACAAAGAGGTCTATGTTTGGGACATAACCTGCAGAGTATTTCCATAATCTGTATTCAATGTAAATGCCTGATTGTCTGCAGGGAAAGAGCAGCAGTCTATTGTTGGACAGACTGGAGCTGGAGGCCTGACGTCTGCACTTTCAAAATGCATGTATGTGTGTGTGGAGGACAAAGGGCCCGCTGCCTGTGGAGGTTACACAGTGTAAATGAGGACGTTTGACCCTAATCCTGCACTAATTAAACTGCAGAGTGCAGAGGAGCTGAGGAGGAACAGGGAGGAACAGCTGGAGGAGGCTGGCGTTCTCAGTTTATACAAGACGATAGCTCACAACTATGGAAACATAAAACTGCCCAGGATATTTCCTCCTAACGCAAAGATGTTTTTGTTAAAGCGTAATCCTTTTACTTTAAGATAATATTATGTTTTGATGAAATAATTTTTTTGTAATAACAACATCACATTTTTGTTTTAATGAAATGGCACTGTACAGAGTGATATCCGAACATGTTCAAGCACTAACACTGTATGAGATGTAGATTTTTAACATCATTTAAAAACATTAGCAAACAAATACTCAGTAATTAGCACAGCGGTCTTCCCTATTGGTGTCGCCAGGCCGATATGCCACACAAAAAACTGATTCAGCGAAGAACGTTTCGTGTTTTTTTGTGGTTCTTTTGACAGACAAGTTAGATGTATTACCTTGTTAACATGTTTCGTCTGCAGAGCTGCAAGACATCCCCTCCATGGTGACATGTCATTTATCAGCTGATGTTACTTCCGGAGTGGGCGTGGTCAGCCTGATTGATCTGACAGGTCGCTCAGACTGACCACGCCCCCTCTCGCCCGGTGGTCTCTGGAGGAGGGGGTCTCATGTGTGGGACAGGAGGAAGGCTCCCTCGTCTCGGTTGATGTTGCTGTTGCCCCGCTTTCTGATTTCAATCTCCTCCTTAATCATGAGTTTGTATTTGTTGGTTTTGGATCCAATGACCCGAGCCCCGTCCCAATCCATAATGTGGTTATTTCTCTTGCAGCGATCTGAAATGTTTTTAATAAATAAAAGCCACATATTTATCAATTGCCCTCTCAGCTTGTTAACCACCTGCCCCAAAACAGCTTGTGTTCATCTACAGACAGATACAGTATATACTTTAACGTTTCCCATTTTCCCATTTAATACAGTTTATATACCCCAATCATGATCCCAGGAGCCAGTGCGTCTTGAAGCTCACATGTGACAGCTCCATGCGCGCTACCAAGTGGTTTTCTTTAACTTTTCTGTTAAGTTAAAGTTATTAATAAAGTTACACATACTTTACTGCATGTATGTCCACAGAGCCAGAGATCCAGGATTAGAGAGAGATGTTCAGGCCACATCAGCTGAAAACTATTGTGATGGATATATACAACCTCCTGCAATACATTAGGACTTTGTCGGCTCTTTCGACTCTGTCTGGTTCCCGTCACTTTTTTGTTCAAGCTAAAGTGTCATGTTGTTAACAATAATGTTTATTCCATTAAAACAAATATTGTATCTTGTTTTAACAAAACATTCATTAAAATATATAAATATCTTGTAGCACGTGAATTATGTTTTTGTTATAACGAGAAAGCCTGAAAACAATGTTGAATCCACACTGACAGTTCTGTGCTTCCCAACCTACTTCTACAAAGGGTGACATTAATAAAATATAAATATAAATATATTATAAATTTATTACAGAATGTCTCAACCAGTGCTGATCTAAAATATTGCATTACTACTATATTGTTTTTGTAGAGGTCACAAATGTCTGATTAAAAATACAGACACAGTCCAGTATATCATTTATAAAAAGCTAAATATGAATGAACCAAAGAATGAGTGGGTGGTAAACAAACATCCATCTGAATATATTTTCATGACATAAAAAATAAAATGATAGTAACAATAATATTAATAATAAAGTCTTCAGTGCATTCATTGCAGAAACCTCATCAAATGAACATTAAATCATTACAGAATGAATAATGAATAACCGTCTGTTTGCCAGAGGGAATTTCATTAATCAAACAATCACAATTAAAAGTGTGCTGCTGGGGGAAGAGGAGGAGGAGGAAGAGGAGGAGGAGGAAGAGGAGGAGGAGGAGGAGGAGGACTTACTCTTCTCTCCTTGGATGTGACTTCAAAGCGCTGCGATTACGTTCATCACAAATAAAGTTGTTGTTGTTGTGCTGTGACCTACATGTACATTCCCCTCATGATGCCCCAGTTATGAGCTCTGCATCAACTGTTCCTGATGAAAGACCACTATGTCTCACAGCAACACAACACTTCATATAACACTGTGGGAACAACCATGGGATTATTCTATCATTTATTATGTAGAAATAATAATAATAATAATAATAATAATAATCATTATCATCATCATCATCATAATTAGTATACCCTGCTCATTGTTATTTCATCATGACGTCATACCAGTACAAACTTTTACGTAAACACCCCTTCTGGTATTTACAGTTTGGGTATTTCAGAGATGTGTGAGGACATAGCGCCTCCTGGTGGAGACTCTGTGTCAGCGCATGTAGTCCCCAATAATACACAGAGCATTATAACATTACATTATTACAATACAATACAATACAATTTATTCTTGTATATCCCTAAATCACAACAGAAGTCATCTCAGAGGAACAGTCTCCCTGAAGATGTGAGACAGGCCTCCTTGCTGACAATGTTTAAAACCAGGTTAAAACAGTTTTAATGTTCTGTGATTATTTATGATTTTAATTTTTTCTTATTTGGTTCAGCACTTTGAATTGCCTTGTGTATGAATTGTGCTATATAAATAAACTTGCCTTGCCTTGCCTTAACAAAACCATTTAAATCACCAAAACAGATCAGAGAATCAACAGTTAAAACACATAAACAATATAGAACACATGTTGATAATTGTCATACATGTTGTAGAAAGTTAAAGTGTCCTGGATCATCACCACAGTCCTTCTAGTTGCTCACTAACTGTCCAACAGACCCTCCTGCATCGGCAAGGAAGAACTCATTATTTAACTTTATATGAATGACACCTTTATTAGTCCCACAGTGGGAGAATTACACATTTTAATACAAATACCATACAAGATGTCTAAATCAATACTATCAATACTAACCAGGATGAGGAGGACTGTCATACTCCAACATTCAATGCTCTCTACCATCCATATCTTGGCCTACCTAAAACAATACACAAATATATTGTTAAAGTATGTAAACTAAAGTTATCCTCCAGTGATCCATCCAGCAAACAACTGCAAAACGCGGAAAAACAAAGACACATAACTGTGTGACGAGTTACACTCATAGACTGTAAATACCACTAATACAAAATACAACATATATATATATATATATATATATATATATATATATATATATATATATATATATATATATATAATATATATATATACATACATGTTTTTATAGAAAATGTAAATGTATTATATCGAATAAAATCACGCTTGATACAACCACAAGGAGGCAGCAGACACCAAGTAATCTTACTCTGAGCCCAAACACAGCTCTCGTCTCATAGGAAACAAGAGATAGGTGTATCGACATTTGCGCACATAATGCTATAATAAATGTAAGTAAACAACAAAAAACAGCACCCCGCGAAGCTCCTGTGCATGGATCTACTATTATTATGGAGTGTGGGGAGTAAATAGTTACTTTTGTAATATATTACATTGACTTATTGCTTTTGAAGCGTATTCTTACTGTCACCACCGACTCCCACTGTCTGCTGTCGTTGTGTCCTTGGCAACCTCTGGGAACACCTGATGCCACAGTGGGGCGGCTGCGGCTGTAAAGTACCAAACTGCTGTTGTGTCCTTAGGCAAGACACTTTACCCCCATTGCCTAGAATGAGTCTGGTGTGTGTGTGAATGGTTGGTGGTGGTCGGAGGGGCCGATGGCACAGACTGGTTGCCTCGCTTCTGTCAGTGTTCCCCAGGGCAGCTGTGGCTACAGTAGTAATTTATCACCACCGTGTATGGAGTGAATGAATAATGACATGTAAAGCGTCTTTGGGTGTCCAAAAAAGCGCTAAATAAAACCAATGCATTATTATTTATTATTATTCTATTTCAAAGGTGAACATTGGTAATATATTAGTTTCAATCAAAGAAACTCAATTCGCAGTTTTGAGGTGCATATTGTCTTGTTTTCTTGCCGTTTGGCAATTATTTTAGGACAAAAAGAGGATAACTATAGTAAATGTTTAGTGGGAACAAATATTTGTGTCCTGAAACAGCAGTATTTGAAATAAAGTATGATAAAATGTGTGTTCTAGACCAAAAAATAACTCTGAGTAGTGTAACGTAGTATAACATTTAAATCAGTAATATTTTAATACACTTAGAACAACAAAACACTTAATAATATTACAATAAAATTAATGGAGCGGAGATGTGGGCTGGAGGTCAAGCTGTAGCACGACCGCCCCCTGGTGGAGCATGGCATCTGTTCTGACTATGGGTCTGGCCATAGACTGTTCTGACACATCTCTCAAAGAAGCAACACTGGGGATAAACACCAAACACCACCAAAGTGAATGTTATGAACTTTTTAAACAATTATACAATGACTACTTCTGTCAATGAAAAGGCAGCAGTGTTTTATGAATTTGGATGCAGCCTAAAGACCTTTCAGTATTTGGATGGATGTGCAATGTTTGAAAGAAAAGACGTCAACAATGAAAATAAAGAGATATTAAAAGGTTTATTACAACTTATCAAGTCTTGTTTTACAGAACTTCCACAAGTTACAAGTACACTTCCAACACAGAATCACACCGCTGTACGCAGTTGAATTGAAGTAAAAATAAAACACTAACTTAGATGAATGATCTTGTCTTTTATTTTCAGAGACATTATTATCAGTAATTCTCGCAGAGAATTAGAATATCATGCAAATACACATGACAAATAAACTTTAAAAATGATCTTAAGGAAACAGTGTCATCTTAAACTACACAGTAGTAAGCAGTACAAACTAAGAACAAGGCGGACTCCATGACGTTAGTGGCTTCTTACTATATTCCAAAGATGATCAGTTCAGGTATGAAGAAGTAATGTTCTATAACATACATCCTCTTTAGGTTAAATAGTGATTTCTATTCACATCTTTTATTTAGGTATTCAAAGATCTGTGTATTGACAGAAGTTTAGCCCTCTGATCATTGGGCTCAGCTACAAGACCTAAAGCACTAACCTAACATAGCATACAGAACTCCAAGAGCAGATACCATGTTATTTACATGCTTCCAAATGCACCAAGAGAACAGCCCTAAAATGTTCTGCAGAAATCCCTTGTAATTACACGATTCAACATGATTAGAAATATGCAATGAAATATTTGATATAAAAATGTTAATGGCACTGCATGAGTCTACTACATCCCCGCCACTGAAGGAGGCGGCCTACAATCACTGCTTCAAACATTCAGACTACAGATGGAATGTAAATGAGTTCACACATGTTTCTAACCCACAGACCCCTCACAGCTATTGTACAAGTGGAGGTCAGACATTCAAACCGCAGCATCAAACTACAGCTGTTCCTATCCACTACCGGAATACATTTGTGATAGTCTTAAAAACTATGAAAAGCTGCCAGTACACGACTAGTGGACTATTGAACCATTATGGTTACCCGTCGTCTGTCAAAATGTGCAAATGCAAAATTCAGACACTTTGGTCACGTCGATAATGCGCAGACCAGAGCCTAAAACATTATCTTGTATAAATAAATACATACACAAAAAAGAGTAATAAATAATTCACAAATACAAAACATTCCATCACCATAGTAACATATTACACCTAAAGTGCGAGTTGTGTTCTTCATCATACATGAAAAAGAGAAAAAAGCACAAAGCAAAGAAGCAGACAGGCTGAAGGTGAATCTCCTCGTGCTTGTGGCCTGCCGCCTGGGATCAGCAGTCTGGGATCCTGGGATCCTGGATCCTGGGATCAGCTGATGGTTGTGCTCTGGTCGGAGGTGGAGGAGCTGACCCTGTTGGAGGTGCTGACAGAGCTGTGCTGGATGGCCTCACTCTGGGGGCTGCTCGTCACAGACATCTCCTCACAGCTCTCCTCCTTTTCCAGAACTGTGGACAAACACACTCACTTCAACACATGCGCTGAGTTGATGCTTCTACGAGAAGGTGAGGACTGTTAGAGACGAGTTAGGACTGTCTGAGGGCTTTTTCTTGATCATTGCATGACATTTGTCTTTGGATTGAAACCTATTCACAAACTAGGACTTTGGAAATATGCATGCTGCTTATGATGAAAGAAAGTGAATGAAGCAATAGACACTATACTTTGTACACTATACTTATAGTAAATATAAACAAACAGATCAGCAGTGAATGAAAGACACCTGTCCACAACCTCAAACAGTCACACTCCAAACTCCACTATGGCCAAGACCAAAGAGCTGTCAAAGGACACCAGAAACAACATTGTAGACCTGCACCAGGCTGGGAAGACTGAATCTGCAATAGGTAAGCAGCTTGGTGTGAAGAAATCAACTGTGGGAGCAATTTGGATGATCCAGAAGAGGATTGGGAGAATGTCATATGGTCAAATGACACCAAAATAGACCTTAAATTCAACAAATTGTGTTTGGAGGAGAAACAATGCTGACTTGCATCCAAAGAACACTACCTGGTGTGAAGCATGGGGGTGGAAACATCATACTTTGGGCCTGTTTTTGCTGCAAAGGGACCATGTAAAGGAAAGAATGAATGGGCCCATGTATCGTGAGATTTTGAATGAAAACCTACTTCCATCAGCAAGGGAATTGAAGATGAAACATGGCTGGGTTTTTCAGAATGACAATGATCCCAAACACACCGCCCGGGCAACGAAGGAGTAGCTTCATAAGAAGCATTTCAAGGTCCTGGAGTGGCCTATTCAGCCACCAGATCTCAAGACCATAGGAAATCTTTGGAGGAAGCTAGTCCATGTTGCCCAGTGACAGCAACTAAACATCACTGCTCTAGAAGAGATCTGCATGGAGGATTGGGCCAAAATACCAGCAACAGTGTGTGAATACCTTGTGAAGACTTATAGAAAACGTTTGAGCTCTGTCATTGCCAACAAAGCATATATAACAAAGTATTGAGATGAACTTTTGTTATTGACCAAATACTTATTTCCACCATAATTTGCAAATAAATTCTTGACGTGACTTTCTGGATTTCTTTCTCATTCCGTCTTTCATAGTTGAGGTTTACATATGATGAAAATCACAGGCCTCCTTCATCTTTGTAAGTGAGAGAAATTGCACAATTGGTGGCTGACTAAATACTTTTTTGCCCCACTGTACATCAGCAGCTCATAGATGGATGGTTGTAATCTGAGGCTGAACTCAAGCGACATCAGATTTTGCCTGAACACATATCATATTCTACATATTACATATTATAAGTCTACATATTTATAATACATATCTACATATTATAAGTTCTGTAGAATTGGAACTTGCAACAATGACCGTGCAGGGGTCTCCAGACCTTACACCTCGTGCAAAAGGGGGGGGGGGGGGGGGGGGGGGTCATGTTTACTAGGGCTGTAACAAGTTCATCAATTAATATAGCTCAGTGATTAATAAAACAGTTGTAAACTCATTTAGTAATTGATGAATTTGGTGATGAACCAAACCTGGTAAAAAGGATGCTAAGAAGAGGCGTGACTCAGACAGAGCAACAGAATGAAAATTGAAATGAAATTACTTTTCAAAGTATTTCTAGATCTAACAACCGATGATTTATTTTTCAAAAGTTTTTGACGGTTTTAAACAGTTTAATTGAAAGAATAACCGCCCGACCAGTCAATTTTCAACAATCAATCAATAATCGTTCATTTTGGTCCTATTGTTTACCAAGAAGAATATTAAAGCCACAACTTCTTGGTCAGTGGAAGTGTGAGAATCAGCAACACACTTTGAGAAGTACAATCACTTAGATGCAGCACATTACAGTACAGTTTGTTCATCCACACCACTAAACGCGTGAGTATTCTCTCATTAACTGCAGCTTTAGACACATTAGAGGAGGCAGTGGAAGGTTGCTAACAAGTCGTGCTCGTCAGATGCAGTGCAGCCTCCTCCGTGTGCTGTTTCTGCAAACTGTCCCATTAATCCCCATAATGCTACTTGTGCCACCCTTTTCCTTTAATTAAAGCTCCAATGTCAATTTAAACCCACATCATAAGGGTACATTACATTGTGGGGCATGTGGCACTGTTTCCCCATCCCTTAACTGCGTTCTCATTTGTTTTTTGTTACCTTGCCAACTACTGCCGCGACAGATGATTACAGCACCTGATTTTAATGATGCTCACACTGGAGACTGGGGAAGACTTGGAGTCGAAATGCCACCAGCTGTTCGGCAGTTGCATTGAATTAATTGGATCCTGATGGAGGTGGAAAAAACTCTCTACTCTCATGCTCTGCTTCATAAAGGAATAAGGAGCACAATGATAATTAATATTGCTAATGATATGAAGTCACTTGTTCTGGCACTTTGTAATTAATGATTTGGAGATAGTAAAAGAGCGCATTCCGGAGCACAAGCAGCAATTATAATGCAAGGCAAAAGCTTCGGAGGGTTTTGTCTGACTTTCTGACTGGACTTGACCATAGATTTAGCGCCAATGAATGCCAAAGAGCTATAAACTTTGTCAGTGCAGAAGGTCAGGTGCAGAATAAATCCGCCTGGTGGGTTTTTACCATGTTCTAGAGTGCATTATAGCTCCTAATGGCAGGAAGGCCCCGGCCGGCTGATACATCATAATACAGGCAATTTTGGGAGTTTTTTGGCCGCAGCCAGATCCTTCTCGGGTAGTGCCGCGAGCAGATGGACGGATCGGAAGCCAAACCCAAAACATGTCCTGGCTTGTTTGTGGAGCAGTCTGGGTAATTTCCTCCGCACCTGCCGCTGCTACGCCTGGGCAGGAGCGCGGAGGGTAGTGCAGGGTCTAGAGGGCAGCATGGCCTGATGGGAAATGTAGGTTTTACTGATCAAATCAAACACGAATGTATGCATTTACAGTATGTGGCACATTTAGGAATGTTACTGGTTTTTCCACAATAACCACAACTAAAGAAGGACCACTATTTAATATTGTGGTGTATAAAAAATCCAAATCTATTTAGCTGCTTATTTTCTCATTGTATTAAACTTTTAGATTTTCCAAAATGTTATGTTTTACAGACCAAGGGTGGAAAACTGGAAATTGATTAAAAAATAAATACCATATATACATAATATAGTTATTTGTGGGAGATAAAGTTGTTGTATAGAAAGTGTCCTGGATTTTGGAGCTCATGTGGCAGTTATATTCTTTTGCGCCTGGAGGGTTAACAAGGTCAATTTGGTTTCTTACCAAAAATGAGCTATCATTTTGTAGTGGTCCACCTGATGGTGCCACGGGCCCCAGCGGCCTCTGGGCCAGAGAGCATCAGTCCTGCAGTTCACATGACAGGTGTCAGAGGAGAGCTCACAATAAGGGATGCATAATGAACAGGCCAGTGCCCACAGCAGAGCACTCTGCAGTCCTGTCAAGCCCTCTGCTTTAATGGACTCATTTCAAAGGCAATCATTGTCAATTCGAGTCAGCGTGGGCATTTAGAGCAGAAAAGAAGAGCTTTGAGGCTGCTGCTTGATCAGATTTGAACAGAATACATGACAAAATCTAAGCAAACACAGAAACAGCAGCAGAATACTTCTAAATGAGCTCGCAGACAGACACGCAGCTGACAACGGCCTGTAAACAGTCTGGAAAGCATCAGAATAAAATCTATTTGTTAGCAAATATGAAAATGTGCACACTTAGGATATGAGCCGGACTGTGCGCTATGAATGTTCCCTAACAAATGCTCATGCAACATTCACTTAGAGACACACCTTGTGGATGTGAACACCTGTGGCCTCTCCCATTAGTCAGAATACAATACACCACCAATACTTTCACTTGTCCAAACTTTCTCAACACCAAGTCTGGATATGTGTCAATAGCTCATGCTTGCTCAGAAGAAAGGCTTGGAGATGTTAGCTGTGGCTCATTTTCCACGTGTTGGACTGGCTGCCTCGGGCTCAGAATAATGGGACATTACTCACTGTGATAGCCAGATTTCTTCTGCATGGCGGTTACAGGGCAATCTTTATGAGCCAGGAGGAGCTGCTTCAGCTGAGCCACTTCGTTTCTCAGCAGGGTGACTTCATTCTTTGGGAGACAGGAGACACACAAGAAGGCTTAATAAAGTGGAACAAAATCTGAGATAGAAAACATCAAAATACACAAGCAGGAGCTTATTTCTGACCATCATGTAAGGAACTATTTGGTGAGGTTATTCTTTTTATAATGGTAACGTTAAAGTCACATCCTGTATCAGCCCAGAGCTACAGTGGACAGTTAAAGATATGTAATATCGGCCTTTCACGCTACAGGCTGTATTTATATATAGTAAAGGCTTCAGCTGGTCTTGGAAAAACAAGTAAATCCAACTATAGAACATCTAAACTAAACTAACCAAAAGGATGAAATAACCAATGGATAAATGACACAAAACAAGGCCTCCATGGCCGATGTAAATATGGAGAACAGGTAAACCCCGGAACGGCAGCAGTATAATGAATGAACATACAAGTGTGTGATGCACTTGCTCATTTATGTTTTCTGCACAATAATTATAGGCCTTCACCGACGAGTGCCTGGCACATTTGTCAGAGGTGAGCGTCTCAGATTTGTCAGAGCAACTTTGTAGATGCAGCCGAGATTTACACTGCGTGTCGTTACTGCTCCCAGGGGAGCGCAGGATTTCTGCATGTCGTAAAAGAGAGCCACATTACGTTGAAGGTGACTTTAACTGGATTTAGAGCGGCCGGGGGCCCCACGAACGCACTGTGGCAGATTTAAGCTCCTTCTCTTCTCCTTTAAAGGACTACGGGCAGCTTAATCTATTAGTCTAAAAGCAGCCAATTTATTTGATTCCATCTGTTTAGCCTTGCTGCTGCTGCTGGCAGGACTGAGCTATTGTAAGACAGATTTAAACACAGCTGGAAGGAGCGCATGATTCCAGCACTACATTCGCTTCACTTCCACCATGAAGGCTGCCACTTACAGCCAATAAAAAGGGTTTTTAAAATCTCTGTATACAGGAAATCTCATTTGAATAACAGATTGGTTTAAAATGTGCAACCTCTCAATACAGAAAGGAATGTAGAAGGGGTCTTTCAAGACTCCAGCTACTTTCGAAACTTTGAAAGATTGGAAATTGAACAGAGAGCCCAGCAAGCAGCGTGGTCTGACACCTCATTAAAAAGCCAGTTAAGGATGATGTTCAAATAATTGTGCATCATTAGAAGCACTTTCACTGATCAGCTGGGCCGTGTCAGCGTGGGCCTTTACTAAACTTGCACAGCTGAATATTGCAGCCTCTTTTCTCTGCCACATGTTGGTCCCGTCTTTGTAGAGAACAGACCGTTTGTTCTGTTTATAACCCCGTCCACTCACCCATCATTCATCCTTTATTTTATTTAATGTGCGCCCACGACAAGTGCCTCTCTTTGAATCTTACATTAACATGTGAACGTATTACTCCTCCGCTTTTCCTTTGCCCCCTCCTCCTGCTCCACATCTTACTTCGCTAAAATCGAAAATAAGACGGTGAGCAAATAAACACCACATCTCATTTAATTGTCTGGAACACTGATGTGCCGCACCCCCGGCTCACACTTATCAACAGAGACAGCAGATACATGAACTGTTTCGAACTTGTCAGCATCAGATCCTAATTGCTTCCAGTGAAATGAAGGTTCAAAAAGACACCTTTCCCTAGGAGATTTTTGAGGCCATTCAGTAAACTGCAGAGACAGAAGCGAAGACACGCTTGTGTGCGGCTGACATCTGGAGGATACATCTTTATTGACAGGGACATATCGATGGAAAGGGCTCACACACTGCTGCTGTCATCCCCAGCGCTCTTTAATGGGCTTTAATGACTTCATCACCACAGAAGGGAGAACATTTCTCAGACGCACTGCACACAACGCTAAACATGTACACAGATATTGACAACAAGGACACCTGTGACCATGAGGCACTATCTGAAGACAGGAGATCACCTGTAGTTGTCCGTTTGTAGAGTTGAGGTCATCGGCTTTTTTCTCCAGGGACTGGACCCACACCTTCCTCTTTTGCCGACAACGGGACGCCGCAGCCCTGTTCCGCTCTAGAAACTTGCGGCGCTTCTCGTCGGGATCTTCACTGGTGGTTCTGCGTCGTCGACCTCCTGTGCTTGGGGGGTTTGGTGCAGGGGGAACTGGTGAAGCCTGGGACAAGTACCACCAAATATGTAAGAAACATGTAATCACAAGCAAAAGAGGGATGAGAAAATCATTACATTACATTATTACGCATCTCTTGTGCTCCGAAATGTTAAGAATGTAGTCAATTCAATACCAACAGCAAGAACATTGACCAGAGAAGTAGGATATATTTCATGATACACTGAGTGGGTTTAAACTTAAGAACTTAAAATGTGAGGAGACTTACGGGAGTCTCTGTTGTAGAGGTGGCTGGCTGCTGGAGGGAGTGTGCAGAGACCTCCTCGGTTGGGGCCATAGGTGAGGGCAGAGTTGGGCCCATAGGTGGGGCCAGTGGTGGGGGCAAAGGGGCAGCTGGCACAGGGGCAGGGGAAACAGGAGCAGCCGTGTGGGTCACAGCGCTGCTCTGCACCTCACCATCACCATTGGTTACCTGAGGAAGTGGCTGGCTTACTGTGGGCTGCAATGTCTGGAGGAAAAATTAGAGAAGAATAAACACAAACTACATTCATTCCAAACTTCCAAATGTCAACATCAGTATCAATATTGTATGTTACTAACAACAAAATTGTATTTTAATATTACATATCAGCGCTTTAGCTAATACCATTTTTAAATAGACAGTTTATAATAAACATACTATTAGTTTTGACATGAGGTTCTCATTGCAATTTTCATGTCAAATATGCAATATTTGCCAGTCACACAACATAGAACCAGATTCAGAAGCAATTTGTGTGTGGTTCACAAGCCAATTCCTCTGGAATCAAATAGTGAGAAAACAAGGTGAAAGTGAATGAGCCTTTTGACGCAATAACAAAGTGCGAGGGAATACATTTACATGGGAAAACAGAGGGCTGCATTATTCTAACAACTACCTTTGCCAGACCAATCTGTCTACCAAATTAGTTTATCGTGTAATACCCTTCCAGAAGCTCTTCTGGCAGAAACAAGATATTATTCTCAGGGAATGGCCCATAGAAAGAGGGAAAAGCCAGTCAGATTCATATTTCATCTCTGCCATGGAAACCTCATCAGTGTAATAACCCTCCATCTCATGGGTCTTATTCAACCATCTGCTACTATATTACTTATCTTTATTTTGCAACTAATTAACAGCATAATCTTCTAAATTCAGCAAGTTAATTATCATTATTGTGGTCTTTGCAGCATCATCAGTCCTTGTAAAGTGCCGTCTCCGCGCCCCCTGAGATGCGCGAGGGGGGCGGGGGGCGCGGCAGGTTGAGCGCGGCTCTGTTTTCTTGACGCGGGCTCATTAGGTGTTTGCTGATGAGCTGTATGTGAAGGGACTGAGGGAGGGGGTGCACAGGTCAGGGAGGATTCTGCTGAACAAAAGGTTCCTCTCAGGGTGAGGCTGACTTAATGTGCCGGGCTGAGCGTGTGCCAGGAAGCCCCCCAGCTGGCTCCCGTCGCTCGCCCCCTTCGGTTGGCCCCGGCGATGGCGTGCTGAGCAGACCGCTGTCTCTCCGTTTGTCAGAGCGGTACCCCATGATCCTTGACAAACCCAGACTCTACCCCCACACCTCCTCGGGATCAATCCTCCACCCACATTATCTGTTAGTTTGGGCCGCTGCCGCCTGTGGAGAGCACTTACAGGATCTCTGCTCGGTGCTTCCTCACACTGACACAGACCTGCTTGCACTCATTTCATATCCTTGTCCCAAACCATTTAACAGGAACCAACAGAATACGCCTTTTCTTGTATCCAAGATAATGGCTAGATAGAAAATACGCAATGGTAGCATGGGTTGTCAAAATTACTAAAAATTGTATACCGATCAATTATTTAAAAACAGTATCGCTTTTGAATTATTTCAAATCAAATTCAGAACTGGTATGAAATCTTACGGCACCAATCAAAAAAGCTGTTGCAATGTTATTTATGTTAAAAAATTGCAGATTTAGATTTTCACTGTGGTATTTAGTCTATTGCTTAGCATTGGCATTGTGAAAACTCTATGCACAATGCTCCTTAGTTTGTAAAATATTTTTTTGATTTGATGTTTTATGTTTACGTCAAGCATGCTAGTTTGACAGTCAAGTTAATATTAATAATGGTTTCAAGTATTATATTTATATTATTCCAATATTTGGTATGTTAACAGGAAAAATAACATTTCAAGCTTAAGCAAATAGACAAATAATTGTCATTTAAATGTAAAGGAGGAAAGAAGTACTCTACCAGCTTGGCTTCTGATTGGGTGGGCTGTGGCGAGGGCGGGCCTGGGATTCCAGGGACATTATGCAGTACGGTGACAGGTCTGACAAGCTGACAACAGAGACACAGACGAGCACAATCAAAATGAGTCCTCTTCACTAAAACCCACGGCGGGACCTAGCCACACAGCCCCAGTGGTTGTGGGCGCTTCCACATATCTCAGGCTCATTAGGTTGGATGGCCTGTTATTTTGCAGAAGCAGCGCCACATAGAGATGCCGCGTGCACGCTAATGAACCTCTGGCTGGCTGCAGGCGAGCATATGGACAGGGATGTGGAAGACAGGATGGAGAGGCATGAGTCAGGAGGCCATAGCAAGGCCTCTCCTCACAACAAGGCACAAGGAATAGTGTGGAGATAGAAAAAACACATGATGGAGACAGCTTCTGTTCCCCAGCCACTCCAGCCCATACCATTCCCAAAAGACCAAAAAAGATGGACGTTTACCCCGCTGTGCCGCTATCAGACAATAATCATCAGCTGCTCAGTGTTCCACATAAAGAATCAGATCCATTGTGAGCAAATAAGACATGCCACCACATGGGAAAGTACACTACACAACAACAAGACCTTGATTTTCTGCAAAGTTCACTGAAGAGACAATGTGATAAACAGCCGTTATCATTGCACCACCAATCGCATTAGTAGCATAATGTGTGCAGTGTGCCAAAAATCAAGAATGATAATTCTCATTGTGCAAGGACAAATAGGAGTGCAACTTCCTGGAAAGAAGCCTGCTGTGCATCCGCCAATTCCTGTCTCTGCTGCACACATACACATGCACTTGATTGTCTATGATTTTATTCAGACTCGTTGGTATTTATTGATTGCCAAATTTTAGAAGCCAAACCAGACCAACAGTATTGGAGACAATGCTGTACAATGTATTATTAGCTGTAATTTAATCAGTTGCTGTTCTTTTGTCGGATGGTGTAACGATTGAAACAGGTTTGAAATGGCAAATAACCCCCAAGTGCTTAAGGAAAGGAACTGTGCCTCTTGGTGGAGGTCTGTGCTCTACAAGTGATTTTCTAGTTTTAAATACAGATGAAACTTGGAAAATAAGATTAAACTTACAACTGACACTAATAAATGACAGACTCATCCAAATTATAACAAATGCTTGGTATCTATATCAGGGGTCTCCAACCTTTGTCACCCAGAGAGAAACTTTCTCAGGACTGAAGTGGCCGATATAATAGCTTCAGGTACTACTTTTAAGCGTCCAGGAAAAAAGGTCAATTGAACAGTGAAAGATAGTCTAGATTGGGTAATGTTTCTATAATTGTATTCATAATTTCTAATTTTTTTATCCATTTAGTTTTCATTTACAAAAGTTGTGGGCGTGTGAATCATAAATATGTTAATTATTATTCCAAAATATACGCAATTTCTAAATCCTTTGGGCAGCTACTTAGAAGATACTGGTAGCTCCTGAGCTACAGGTTGGAGACCCCTAGTCTATAATTTAGATTGGTTTCACATTGTAAGTAAATCTAAGTATACCAAAATAAACTTTTAAATAATATTCTAATTTCTGAGTTTCACCAGTAGATTCATTTCACATTGAACACAGTGAGCTCATCACAGTCTGAAATTCAACTTCTCACAATGTTCTAATTATTGGAGTCTGTATTTTCTGCAAAGTCAGAAGGTTAATTTCAGACAGTGTTTACATAGCATAAACAAACGTATACATTGAACATATCTTTGTGTTCAAAAGTGGTCTATATAAATGTGTTACTCACAGGAATTGTGGTTGGAATATGGACACTTGAGCTTGTAATTGATGCAGGTATAGCCACTGGCATGGTTTGACCGTTAGGCAGCTGTAACAGCACAGGAAAGGTGCCAGGCACTGGTCTAGAGAGAGAAAACCACATTTTAAACAAACACACAGTATATAGTATCATATATAATCCTTTTGCTTACGATGACTTGGCAAAAAGGCTGAGAGACAATGAGCTGCACATAATTCATGAATAAGGAACACCAGTTTTGCTTAGTGCTTTGAATCAGACACGTTTTTATTATATTTTAATTTCTTAATTCATTCATTTTCTTCCCCTTAATCCATTTCTGGGTGGGGGGGGGGGGCAGTCAGAGCTGCATCCAGTACACTTAGCACCAGCCCCTCAATAATCCTCCTGCAGGTGATGAGTCCACAGGAGCTGAGATTTTTCAGTGGGGGCTTCCATTTTAATTTCTTACATGATATTATTACTTTAGGTAAGCAACTAAGCAAAACTGACGTCTGAATACTGAAAAGAAAAATGTATCACATAATAAATAAAACCAAATTAAATACACTGAATGGGGTACGGTAATCAAAATGAACAGTGCATAAAGTAAATTTGAAGTGTAAAAGTATAACTACTTACACTATAGGTCTATTAGAGGGTGGAACCTGGGTTATAACAGAACTAGAGGTTGGCGATGGGAGAGCTTGCTGAATTATAACACTAGCCTCTGTGGTTGCTAGAAGTACATTAGGGACTTGGAGGGAAGCAGGATGCACTATAGTAGATGTTGGCAGTGAGGTTGGCGGCAAAGATATGTCCTGAAAACATTCAGCAAATCAAAATTCAGCCAGAATTGGAGGAATAAAAGTTCTTGTGAAAATTCCTGCAACTTTACATTTTTTTTATTTTTTTTACACAACATTGTACGTACCTGCATCATAAAGAGCAAAAGCAGTTATGGAATACCTTTTCATCACTTGTAGTAGACTCGGGGTGTGGCAAGGGGCTGTCTCGATGTACATCCACAGCTGAGGCCACCTCTCGTTTGGCTCGTATAACAGGTGTGGCAAGAGGTGACAAATCCAATGGTAACTGCTATGAGGAAAATTAGGTACTAGATAAACCACTTTTAACAAAATGTGTCAATAACAAGCAATCAAAATTAAACAAACTTTTTTAATATCCTCCTCAGATGCTTTTTTAAAGTCATGGTCAAAAGGACTTGTTAGTTCGTTGAACAGCCCGACTTCATCACAGTTCTTTAAAAAGCGCGTTGGAGTAGGAGTTTGGTCTGAAAAGAACGTATTGCATGTTAATATTTACATTTAGAAACGTACTTGTCATTTAATCTCCAAATACTGTATGTACCAGCAATGATGACACTGTCATTCCTCGCTGGGCCAAACTTCAGGGTCATCTCATGCTTGTGCCTGTGGACAGCCAGGTGGTCTTCATTTGTAAATCTCTGTTATTTAAGAAAAACAACAAAACGAGACATTAGTGACATCAACAACCACGGCTGTACGAGGCACTGAGGTTCAGGAGGTCTGGACTCATTTCTTTTTTGTCATTGTCTCCTAACGTACAATCACATGGTTTCTCGTCGGATTTGACTGGTATAATATTTCTAACAATAGTGAAAATATTTTACTTATTATCACTACTTACTTCAATGCAGCACTTTGGAAACTCTAGTTTATGAATGAAAATCTAAATAAAGTGGATTTGGAGGTTGGATATGTTGTCAAAGATGTTTTTTTCTGAACATTTGTTCAAAATGAAGATTTTCAATTAGCTTGTGACCAATTACGATAATGTTGTTCATACATTACATTTTACAGCTCTAAGAGCCAGTAGACATTTCATTTGTTATTCAAAACAACCCCAGATTACACCAAGTTGCATATTTTTTAATAATTAAAAGTCAAACCTGCTATTCGAGGATAATTTTCAATAAACATGAGTGAAAACATCAATTATTTAATAAATATTGTTTAAAGCTAGGCTTTAGATTCAAACAAAAAAGTGCAGTGCTTATTAAGGGGATGGGGTCCAAAACAGATTATGGTACCCTTCACAAATGCAAGAACTGTTAATGTGCAAGTTATACAAAAGCTTTCCCCTCTCAAATCCAACCAGGACAGCAGAAGGAGCTACACGCTCTCCCCTTTGCCAGAACCCAGAAACTGTGGATTCCACTATGGAAAAGATTAATAAAAAGATTGTTTAAGAAAAGAATCAAAGTAACAATTAAATAATATGAATTGGATAATGAAAAAGATAGCGAAATAAATTAAACCAGTTAAAAGGAGTGCTGCAAAAAAAAAATCTGAGTTGTACATCAAAAAGGGGTAGGCAATGTATGATTTCTTATTTCTGCTACATTTAAATTATGTGGCAGGACTACAATTATTTGAAATGTAATTGTAACGTGTAATGTCGTGTTACTGTCCACAATTGAAATAAAGCAAAGAATAGAAGTAATTAAGTAAGGACAGGCTAAAAGTTAAATCAACGCTTCATACTGAGTAATTGGAAGTAACATTGGACTTTGTTGAAGGTGGTTTTCACATGGACATGTTCACTATTAGGCCTGTAACAAAGAGGTTGAGATCCACTGCATGGCTCATGGGGAAACACAAAAATGCCATACATTGAAGTCAGTACGTACCTGACCACAACCAGGAGCAGTACATAAAAAGGGCTTGTCATCACTCATATTAGGGCAATCCTGTCAAGTACCCCTGCAAAAAGACATTCAATTACACTGAGACTTTAGTTTTGTATGGATGATTTATTACAAAAGTGTTTTCGTATCTAAAACGTGCTATAATAGCTCATACACATGAGAAGTAGCGATAGATAATAGACAAAGCGAATCAGCGATGGGCGGCTACCCTTGTTTACATTCGGAGCGTAGTAAAACTCGCCACTGAATAACGTTACCTTTCTCAATAAAATTGTCCGAATCATTCAGACATTTCAAATGAAAGCTTTAGTTTAAGCTTTATTTCAAATGGCAAACAATACCACTATTCCAAAGGTAATAACGCGAGATAAAGGGATGCCTATTCTGGTCGCTAGCCAAAGCCCTCCGCTACAATTCAGACGTCGCCCTGTATCCGGCAGATACCTCTCTAAATGTTATGTCAACATGCATTCAGCAGTTGTAGATTCACGCAAAATCCTTGGCGATTTACGAGACAGCATTTACGTCCATTCGCTTCCCGTGGACACTTACCCCACAGCCCAGTCCAGCCGCAACCCAAGTCAAGAGCCCGTCCGCGTGATCCTCTCGCGAGAGGAAAACTGATGTCTTCCGTAAACGTCATAGTCTGGTTCCAAAGGAGAATCCATGGACACAGATGTATGAAGGCAACTCCTCTTGCAGTTAAGCAATAACCATTGCTTCAATATAATTATGTCGTTATTATTTGTTACACAAGTGATTTTCTGTATATGTGGCCAAATACATTGCTATATTACTATTAATGTCACTTGCAATAACGTACCAACTTTACAATTTGAAATAATTAAAGTAAATTCAAACAAACATGTATTTAAATTATAGACTATAGGTTTATTGAAATTTACAAAATTAGCATTGACTTGCTGCCCAATGCCATTTATCTGCCACTAAAACCAGTACCAGGGTCAGCAAAGGTGTGACTGGAGAAACAAGGCTGAACATTGCCATGTAGTCTTTGTAGTTCTGTTGAAATACAATATTTCCAAAATGTTCATCACTGGAAAGATGTTAGACAGAAAAGTTGCAGCTACTGTCAAAAGTCAAATACATGTATTTTAATAACATAATGTCTTACATTTGTACAATACATGTTTTCTTTTTTAACAGTGTCTGAAAGACCTGGAAATTTACATTTCGATGACACCAACAAAGAACAAATTGGTAGCCACAATAAAATATGTAGTTACATCTGTATTCAAAGTGTGTGAGAGCATAATTTTACATGGCAAACAGGATAAGGAAAGCAACCATCAAGCAGAAGAGTCCCATAGCTTCAGACAAGGCAAACCCCAGGATGGCATAAGAGAAAAGCTGCTGCTTCAAAGATGGGTTCCTAAAAAATAAAAATAAAAAGAGTTTTAGCACTCCACAAAAGGACTGTCCTAAATAACGCAATGTAAATAGTTTCACAAACCTAGCATAGCCAATAATGAGACTGCCGAAAACTGTGCCGATACCAGCTCCAGATCCAGCTACTCCGACTGTGGCAGCTCCAGCACCAATGAACTTGGCAGCAGTGTCGATGTCCCGGCTCACAGCACTGGTCTGGAAGCTCCTCAGAGTCATCTGGGACACCACGCTCTGTGGCATCACAACTGCACTCTTCTGAACAAGGGACAGATGCAGACAAACCATTTATAGTCACAGAGTAGGTAAACATACAAGCACTGTTTCAGTTTAGATTTTGCACTAGCAAATGTAAAGTCAATGTGTGAATAGAAAACTACCTTACCTCTGTTTGGACATCTGGCCGAGACAGCACCGAAGCAGAGATGGGTCTGAACAGAGCCCGGGAACCAGCACGGACCTACAACAAACAGAGCAGGTTAATATATGATTAAGCAAGATTCTTTCTGAGGAAAAACATGTGCAATGACAGATCTATAATGGATTGTTGGCTTCATATGGGCTAATGCTGACCTTGGCTAGCATAGCACCAATGAATGAAGTTGCATCTGAAGAATTTAGGGTCAACCCTTATTGGTTTGTATAAGGGTAGTCTGAAATGCAGTATAATCATTACGAAGATGTTCATCACGACTATGAACCAAACTTTGAATATTGTAGTATTAGCCAGCTAGCGCGCTAGCCTGCTGGCCTACTCTGCAGATACCCTTGTCAGAAAGGTAGTCAAGTTCACACAGGCCCCCCTCACACTCACTCAGATAATAGCAAAACTGAAAGACTCACCAACGCCGGCGTCGATACAAACTTTGCACAAGCATACATGTTGTGATGTAAGGTTAGGTCGTTTGTACCGCTGTGGTGAAATCAGTGAAGCCCGGGATCTGTCTGAGGAAGACCGAAAAGAAGTGAGGTCAAACGAATGTGCAAATGATCTACGAACAAAATAAAGACATAGGCGTGCACACTGTAATCTGCTTAACACTACAGTGACACCGCTGGTCTGCAAAATGAGGCTAGACGCACGGATGAGACAGGATTTGCAAGTAAACTCTTCTCATTCAAACTGCCATTGCACTTACCGACTGCAGAGGTCGAACCACAGATGTGAACTACGCATGCGCTGTATGATGTCGACAAGTGCCCGGATGAAGAAGAAAGGTCATTTGATGCATTTTATTTAATTAGACAACATACTACGACTACGACTGAGTCTTTTTTATTTGTATTGACCTTAGCACGGAGTTTTTTAAATATTGAAGAACCATCAGACCAACAAGCTAAAGAAATAACTCAAACCTGTAAGATACTATATTTTATAAAAAAGTAATTAGTACAGTAATAAGTAAGGGATTTCCCATCACTGCCCACCACACAAACATTATTTAAATGAATGTATGGTTTAGATGAATTCTTTGAATCTTGAACTAACATTGATGTGTGTTCCATTGCTTCTTGGTCCAGGGTTGTGACATCACGACTGTCTGTTCTAGCCCAAGTTTGTCACCTGTTGTGTTGTGAATATAGCATGTAGGGCCAGTGCTTTGGGTCTGTCAGTGCACACCACAGGCTGATGGTGGAGCTGTAGGGGATCAACACCAGCCAAATGAGTAATCATGATGAATGTCTTTACAGCAGCTGCTCTGTGATGGAAAGGTAATGAGTATAGAGTCCCTGCCGCACGCTGCTGCACCAGGATACTGTCCTGCTTGTCCCTTATTTTGGACTAATCTGCTCCAATTAAAGCATGTAAGAAATATACCTGCAATAAAACACAACTGAGCATATTAATGGTCAGAATACAACATTGACATTTAAGAGAATTTAACGGAACATAATATCTGTGAATACTAATGCAATGTCTATATCTATCCAGCAGAGGGAGCAGTGGGGCATGACCATAGAACTGTAATGTTATAATAGATCTATGGGCGCGAGGCAATTGTACACCTTGTTACCTGAAACAGTTAGTGCAAAACAAACAATTAAACGACTTTAATTGAATGCAAAAGAAATCCAGTTTTATGCATTAATTATGTATAGTTTTAGTCTGGCCAAGTTTCATGCTCATGCAGATCCCCCTCCCCATTTAAACACTTAATAAATTGTAGAAATAGACATTAAGCTATTCCAATGACATTTCTGTTGGCTGTAGTGTTGCACACACAAGCCGTAAGACACCAAGCCTTATAGGTCAGATTTAATCATATAATAAAACATGAAGATTTACAATGCATTAATTGCGGGGAGCACATATCAAAGTGGCCGTTAACTACCTGAGGTCATTGTCACACTGTCCAATTACCCAGGCAGCGGCTGTGTGGTCCTACTGTGGAGCCTGGGCAGAACACTACCCACCTGTACTTGCTCCAGTTCAGCCACACACACACCCTGTCTCAAAGCCTGCATACAACACTGAGACATTCCATTTGCATGCCCGCCCCATCAAGCTGGATGCACTCAGACTGGTAATAAAAGGCATTGACCCCCTTAACCTTTATGAATTACAATTTGTGCCTGTAGCACGTCCTGTCAGAGGCCTCAGAAAAGCAGGCACCTCGACTGGGGTGTGTGCGTGTTGTTTTGCAGTTGTTAAGGAGAGGGGAAAAGGTTTTTACAGCTCTTCGTTGCAGCTTCTGACAAGCAAGGAGGAGGCGCTCTGACAGCCCACGCAGGGAAGGGAGGGACTGCTGATGGCTCCATGCTAATCTCAATCCCTAGATGCTCCAGGAAACTACAAAGCTGCTTCCCTTTGTCAAGAGCAAGCAAACAGAGTCTGTAGGGCAGAGTTCTCCATTCCTCCCCACAAATCTTCTCTAAGAAGCTTCAAATAGAGCTGGAAATCAAAGGGTGCCCTCAAATATGGACAATGTGCAAAGACATCAACGTAAAAACAAAAACAATATGGTTGTATGAGCGACATCTCCAACAGGTGTATTGTTTATTATATAGAACATTATAAACAAAGTTATGTTCTATGTGAAGCAGTAAATGAGGAAGGGTCTTTAACGAAGGAAATAGATGCAGTTGAAATGTACAAAAGATTTCTGATACCGTGCAAAAAATCCCACAGAAAAACAACTCATCGTCTTCTCCAGCGTTGATGTAACGGACATTAGTATTCACAGAATGGATTTTTCTGCAAATCTATAATAACTCTGATCTTTGTGCTGCCAGTGTAGTGTAAGGAATGCTGAGGCAGACTTTTAGTCGGATAAGCCTGTAACACCACTATATCCCTGTGCTTAGAAATACTCAGTTGTACAATAAGAGCAATGTACACACAAAAGTGCTCCTGTTGACTGGATTCAGATAAAGTTGAAAAGTGCTATTGTGATGAGCATCTACAGAGCCTCCCTTCTCCCTCTGTTTAACATCAGGAAATGCAGGCAGTGACTGTGTGAACAGGAGCGTGGCTGACAGGGGCAGCCGTGCGATGATTGGTTTACGGATCTGTGCTTTCTCCAGTGACTTCAAGGTCACTAAGATTTACAATCAAATGTCTTATGACACTTTAGTAAAACCCACCAATGCTCAGAAAGAGGCTGGTGCGTCTGCGTGACCTCTCCGACCATTACAGGAATCCACGCTTTATTATCACAGCCAACACATTTGCATGTAGCAGACAGAAGGTTGTTAACAGAGGCATATGGAGAAAGAATTTGATAGACACAGTATATGGTGCGCATGCAACTGCACATTACAAGAGCAGTATGTTTCAAGCTCCAGTCAAACTGCAGATACAGTCTGCTACACAAAAGAGCAATTAATATGATTTAAAAGTCAATCTATGATAGTGGTGTTCTGCCCTCAACTGAAATATTACAGCTCTATGTAGGGCCTGCCATTTAGTCTGATGATTTAGTTTGATGGTGGCTTAGCTATTTCCTCTTGTAGCTAAGTAGTAAACATAAATACAATAAACAGTCTGGTAAAAGAAGTTAAATGCTTTCTTTTTGCGCACAATAAATTTGTAATTATTTAGGCATATTAACGTATATACTGCATATAACGTAATTGTCAGTCCCAACTACACCCAAGTGTTTTCGGAGTAACTGTGTACAAGAGGGAAGGGCGTGCTTTGTTTTAATCATTACTGAAATTATGTCGCACAGCTCTGGATATGAGGCTTGTTATACACGCGCTAATATCCAAGGCGTGTTTACTTAGCACTCATATGGAACGCTGTTGATTTTTATGGGGCGCATATGGCTACATTTTATTGAGCTCAATTAAATCGCTCTAAACTAGGATTAACTTTTTTGAGTAGCAATCCATTATCCGAACTGTTCGAAGGCTGTGGGGCTCACGGCTGTTGCACACGGCGTCTCTCGGCACAGATTGGGGTTGTCAAATATGAGCCTGTCACAACAATATTTAGTGAAACAGCCCCTTCCTGCTTTTAATGGTCGACCTACATCCCAGTTCAGAGGGCTAATAAAGGCAGTCTGGTGGAGGTCCTGGTGCTGCACAATGTCACTCACAGATGCCCAACTCAGCAAGATCCGGAATGCTCAATTAGTTGCTTTTATAGGGCCCATTAATATGCATTAACTCCCTTTTCTAGGTATAAGCCGAGACAAACAATGTGGGTGCTGACATATAAGCCTGGCAACACTTTTTTAATTGCTTTAAGCTAAGGAGACGTTGTTATGGATTTTCTTTTTGCGTTTAGTAATAGTAAACTATATCACACCCGGATAATAACACAATATTGATCTAAAGTGGTTTAATATTACAAACGGGTTCAAGGACTTCCTGGTTAAAACTGCTAAACAAAAAAGGCTCCATTTCATTTCATCCCAGCCAGCAGTGAATGTTTTTGTTTTTTATGTTTTTAAATTGGACAGCCTTTTGGAACCTGGAGTCAGATGGAGTATGAGGAATATTTTTGGAGAATTTAAACTTTAAATCTAGAGCAATACAGGATACCTCAAGCATGCATTCATCAGTTGAAATAAGGATAAATACATAGTTGGTCGACTAAAAACAAAATAGATGTGCATGAAGTAATAGCAATATTAACTGAAAAACAATATTGAGAGTTTAATCTGGCCTGTATATAAAAATGTAGTAAAATCTTCAGCCGGTTTGCTCCATATCATTTCACCTAGAAATTAAAATCTAAAAAAATTTTTTTAAGTTGACTAAGAAACCAACCAATTACTTAACTACACAACTAATTATTGGCATCCCTATAGTTGAAATGAAACACAAATGACACGGGAATACAGTTATAGAAAAGGTCAGCTGTTGTCATCTCCCTTTACTACAACAGAAACACTACGCAATCGCCCTTGATTAAGTGATTGCCCAATTACATATCAAAAGTCCAAAATCATATCCAGTCTTGTGTGACACGCCTTAAACCCATTCTCCTCTCCTCCCACACAATAAAGCGATCTGGCAACGCAGCGAGGCCCGAATCAATCATGGCACTTTATTATGCTGTCACTAGTCTGCTTCCTGCAAGTGTGTTTACCCTGTCCATGGCCCGGCGATGGCGGCTGTTCAGTGTGCATTAAGACGGACATAATTGAGATTGTGGGCGGCCCAAAGTGCAGGGCTCAACCTGTAGTCGTTAATCTGTCATATTGTGGAGAGTCACGGCGGCGCTTGACCTATAGGAGGCTCCACCTTGAAGGCAGGGGCTGATGGAGGCTTTGTTGTTTTCATGGCAGCGGCTCGCACCTATTTTAACTTTATTGCTTTGCCACCAACGGCGAAAGCCAAAAAGCAGCGTGATCTATAGGGCAACCTCTGACTTCAATTGGACTCGGCCTGCCTTCTAATCCCTGTTATGTGCTTGACGATTAGCAGCCAGTCTATTAAAACACACCACCTCTAGATTGGGTTCATGAGAGAGAAAAAGCCGTTGATGAAGAAAGAATGTGCGGTTCACAAAGAATGTAACTGATGGGGAAAAGGTCGATGTAGGATGTAGGAGGCGATAGGCTGCGTTCATGTTCTTTCTAGACTTCTCTTTCAGTTGGAGGGCAGGTGCTTATAAAACTCTATGGGAAAGGAATAGAGTTTTGAAAGAAATGTTGATTCACAAACTTGCTTTATTATTATCTTATCTTCTGGCCAACATCATACACGTTTTTCTAATATTGTCAC